TTTTCCCAAAACTTTTTTTTTTTTTTTTTTTTTTGTCTTTTTGTCTTTTTTTCCGAGTCCGGCAACGGATCGCAACCCTCAGTGTTGCCCCCGTACCGGACCGGGGACCGGCAACGGGATCGCAAGCCTCGGTGTTGCTCCCGCGCCTCGCTCAGCCAGTGAGCGGGAGCCGGTCGGTATGTGGGATCCAAACCCTCGGACGGGAGCGCCACCGCGCTTCCCAAGCGGCGCACTATCCAGTGCGCCACCGGGCCAGCCCGATGATCAATATCTTGATTGAAAAGGTCTTACTTTTCTTTGCATAAATCTCTTGGTGTTGGGAAGGCTCTTTCCCAGGTGGTGATTGAAAGAAGTATCTTGGCTCACTTTCTTTCAGTGATCCGTCCCACATCCGGGGGAAAGATGAAGCAGCAGTTTTGGCCAAATTACGGCAAACATGAAAGAGAGATCAGCAACTTGGAAGTGAGACATGCTATCTTATATCCAAAGTTTTAAATTATATCCTATTATAAAGAGAGAGAGAGTCAATTTTCATTGAATTTATAAAAATAGCCACATTGCCATAATAATCATAAGGATACTTAAAGTTATTAAATTTGGGGGATCAAAAAGGGAGAAAACAAATGCTTTTATCTCTGTTTTAAATGACATATTACCAAACTGTTGTTAGTTATAAATAGCTTAAGAGACAGAGAGAGAGTTTTCTTACATTTGGAAAACATTGGGAGAACCAGCAGTGTTTTAAAATAAGGAAATGGGAGCCGAGCCCGTGGCGCACTCGGGAGATCCTATATAGGATCCTATATAGGGATGGCTGGTGTGATGCGCTCACTGGCTGAGTGCAGTGCGGCTGGTCACAAAAAGGACAAAAAATAAATAAATAAAAATAAAAAATAAAAAAATAAAATAAAATAAGGAAATGGTAAAAACCCATAATTCTTTTAAATTAATTTACAAATTACCTTTGTTGTTTTGACCTTTGTGAACAATTTCACAAACTCATCAGTTTTTTCATTAGAATTTTGGAACTTTAGTTTAAAGCTATGAACTCAAAGTCTGTCAGGAAACTGTACCTATCAGAGTTTTTTCATGAAATATTTGAAGACATAACATTTTAAAATTATAATTAAACCAAGGTTATGACAGTAGCATTTATATCAAGACACAGAT